TGTGAAGGATACATGTCCAGCACCCACCTGGGCCCCTCCACATCGCCCTTGTGGGACTTGAGGGGCAAGGAGCCAGGAAGCGCATACTGCCTGCTATGTGGTAATAAAGTCCATTGTTTCCGATCCAGAAGGCTCATGTCTTCTGTCAGCATCCCTGAAACTATAGACGGCAAAGTCACTATGCTGCAAATAGGATAAAACAACAGACCCTCTACAGTTCTTGATTCGTAGAACCTTGCACCCAACAGTAGACGAGACACCATCTTCTCAAGTGATACATGGAGTGTGTGCAAATTGCCTAGCACAGTGCCTTCCACATGGAAGACATTCAATTAATGTTAGTGCTCATTTTTCTTGGGCACACCAGCTCCTCTTACTTCCTTGAGCAGTTAGCAGCCACGGGGAAGGAATGAACCAGGTGAACAGAAATCACAAATGAGCATTCAACAGCTTGAGAGGTGGTTCTGTCCATCCCTAGCATGAAATGGGAGCACAGGGAGCGATGGTGATATACAACAACCCTTCTGGGTTGGCCCCACACTGTGGGACTTCAGTGATTTAGGGCAAGACCATTGCCAGGAAAGCAAATATTATATATTTATATTCAAATGTCAAGAGTCTTTCCCAAGGTCCTCTGGAAACTAAATCTATCCTATTAGCCATTTTCTTATAGCTCAGACCAGCAATAATCTGGCTTACTAAACCATGATGAGTTCATTTCTTCATCCTCCCTCCTCCTTAGAGCTACAGAGTTTAATCTCGGATTACCTCTATTTTTTTCTGAAACTGGCTTCTGTTTCTATAGCAACTTCTACTACCTCTACACTCAGATAGGGAGGAATAACATATGTTAGGTCTCTGTCCAGTACCTGAAAGCTCATTCTTCAATGACGAGAGCAGGATCTCCAGTCCAGGTGTCTACGAGCAAACTCAAGACCCGACCCCTACTCTGTAGCCACTCTCCAGGGAGGAGGGGGCTAGTGGGCCAGGCTTTGAATGTGTGGAGGGAGGCCTGCAGCTGTCTGCTACATTCCTTTCCAAATCAGCCCAGCCCCGGGCAGGCCAATGTGACTAGGCCTTCGGGGACAGCCGTTGTTCTTCATCACATATTTGCCTAGTGACCAGTCTCAGCTTAGAGCCCCTTGAGTCGTATAGCCAGTTTGAAGGACTGGTGTGCAGGGCAGATGCGCCCAGTGTCTTCTGGGGAAGAGATGGTATTCCGTGCTCTCTCAGAAAAACCTATAAATCTGCCCCGAGTCCTCCTCCTAGAGCAGCTCCTCCTTCCTTCTCCCTCTCTGCCTCCCGAACCACCTCTTTTTGCCTCCCAAATCCGCCTTCCCCAAGTCCGGGGCTGCTCAAGACTCCACCGAGCAAGTCCAAACAGTCCATCTGCTGTTCCGTCACACGTGTGCCTTCCAGCCATGCAGCTCCTGCAGGGTTTGCGACACTAGAACTCCCCGAGCTGGACTCCCGTCCTCACCGAGGTTCCCCGTGGGGGTGCGCTCCCTGACTTCACGGGTTTTCTGCATCATTATTGCTTTGACTTCCTGCAGATGAGGAGTCTGAGCAGCAGACCAGCCAAGGGCTGAGGCTACCCAGCTGCAGGCACAGAAGCCTGCCTTACAGCCGAGGCCTCCTGACTTGAGGCTAGGGGCTTCAACCTCTTTAATTCTTCTCAGCAAAGGAGACGCCTGTGAAGTGAGCAAGTTTCCCAATCATTGCAAATCTTAGGATGTTTCTGGTCTCCACCCCCCACCCCCCCCACCCCCTTGTCATTCAAGGCAAATGAAACTCACTGGGTGAATTTCTTGGCCTGGATCCCAGGCAAATTAAATTTGAGACATGTTTTGTAATCCATACTCGTGACTTGCCTGATCCAACCTATCCACGGTTCAGTTGGTTTTTTCCTAAATGAAACAGAGTTGACACACAACGTTACATTAGTTTCAAGGGCACAGCTTAGTGATTCAACACCGGTATACATTATGCTATGCTCCCCATTCGTGTGGCTACCATCTGTCACCTTACAATGCTATTACAATACATGGTTTAGTTCTCAGTCTAGTAAGTGGAAACTGTTACTAGTTCATTCCCCCATTCTTTCATTCGACTGGTATGGAGCAGTGAATGAGACGAAGTCTGTCCTTGAAAAGCTCCCATTCTTGTCTGGGATGGCAGTGGGCGGGAGGACAGAGATCAGCATAAACCACTAGCTAACACAGTGTAATGTTCCCAAACCCCAAAGGAGCATGATCCATTCATTCCACTAAGGGAATGAGACCTCACAGACGTACCAGAACTGAGCTGGGTCTAGAATAATCATGTCAGGTGGAAAGTGAGCAAACTCTCAGCTTGTAGTTTGCAGGTGCCCAAGGCCTAGGGTTCCTTGATTGTTCTGGGGCCCGGTTCACCCCAGCCTCTGCAACATGTGACCCAAATTTGACCCTGGTGCTATTCTAGTCATGTCCTTAAAGTAGCAGTGGTGATGGTGATGGTCACGATGATGCCCTATCTTCCCAGGGTCCCAGGATAGGTCCAGCAGCAGATCTGTCTCCTAGAAAGATTGCCATGGTTTTGCCAAAGCATCCAGTGACTAACGAAGTCTTGTTCTAGAGTAAAGGTGACCACTGTACACAGACACACCCAGGAAGCAGCTCCCAAATCTTCTCGATCATCAAACGTCTACAAACCACCCAAGGTGAGGGGTTGGGGGAAGGAGCAGAATCTGAAAAATGCAACAGAAAGCATCATCATTGCCCAACAGCTGAGATCCAAATTTGTCAGCCTCCCAGGGCAGTCAGGGCAAAGAAGGGGAGGCAAATGGTATAGAACCAGCACCTGGAGTGTGAGAGAATGAGGGGTTTGGAGGAGAAGCCACTGCCAAGTGAGAGAGCTCGCCCACTGGTGGGAGGAGGGGTACACCACATGATCTCCAAGGTCCTCCCTAAAACAAGTCCAAGTGGCCTGCCGCCCTTGGAAAAAGAGGAAACGTGTCTCTCAAAGATTCTGCCCAACACTGACATGGATCCAGGATAACACACTCAGGAAGAGGATTGGGTGTGGGTGTGGGGTTGGATCGGCTGTTTCGGTCGTGATCAGCGTGAACCCCTCCAGCTCTCCAGCTGGCCCATAGCTATACACAGCTGTCTTGTCCCCAGAGCTATGGTCACCCAAAAGCACGTCCTGAGCCCAGGTCCTCTGGCCCCTGACACATGGCCATAGAGAGACAGCTTATTGCTAAAAACAACAGAACAGGGACAACTCAGAAGGTCTCCATGTTCATAACACATGTAGAAGCAGGCAGCACTGGACATCAGCCTCAAAAGTGTCCTCGAAATACCCCTGGCTCCTTCGACGGCCCATTGGCACTCTAAGTCTTCACCCTATTGCCTCGCTTTTCCCATCTGCCCCAGGGGCCCAAGTTGGTCCACACCACAACTCAGACCTGCCTAGAAAACAGCTTTTTACATTTTTGTAAGGGGTAGATCCAATCTTCCCAATAAGCTACTGCCTACTGAGCAGAAATAAAAGCAAAATGCCTGTAGTCCATTCCAGAGACTTCATCTGGTACAGTAGTTTTGATTATTCCTCCAGACCGTGTTACTCAGGCTTGCTATCCCCTCGTTCTGCCTCTCTGCAAAATGGCATCTGGGATGTGGGTGGGGTGGGTCTGTGGCTTGTGTCCCCACGGCAGCGGGACAGGCCCTTAGATCTGTGCAGTGGCTCTGATCCTCCCTTGTCTGGTTTACCTCTGTCCCGGCCTGGCCTGGCTCCAAGCCCTGGATGCAGTCATGGGAGCCTTGGAGGTCTGAGTCTGGAAGGGGGTCCGGCCTTTGTGTGGCCAGGTGTTGAAACTGTGTTTATTTGGCAAAGCCCGGATGAGGCCTGCGCTGGGTGGTCTGTGAGAGAGCCCATGCCCACCCAGCCCAGCATCAAACCCGGAGTCAGCTGACCCCAGGGACACACCCAGGGTCCTCAGAAGCGCTGCTGCCATCTCAGGCTAAGGGTGTCTGAGCTGCCCTTCTGAGTTTCCTAAAAGGGCCCCTTCACCCCCACCCCTTCTACAGTCCACCTCAAAACCCCAGCGCTGAGGAGTGAGCTGTGTCCCAGGAGACACAGGCCAAGATCAAGCTGGCTCTGCCCGATCGTGGCCCCGCAGCACGAATCCTGGCTCTGGACCAGAAGCTGCCCGAGGGCTGTGGGTGGGCCTGCCTGCCATCTGGGGGGAGGTCCCCTCCCCACCCCCACCTCCCAATGCGGGATCTCGGAGGGAATAGATAAAGCCCTGGCTGAGTGCGACCGCAGAGCTGGGCCTCATGCGCGCACAGGAGGCAGGGAGGGGTATTTACAGCCGAGAAATCCCATCGGACGATCGTGCTAACTCTGCTGTGCTGTACGCTCAGCCTTTGGGGCCTTCAGAGGCCCAAACCTGGCCCCTCACCCGGAGCAGAAGCTCAGCGCACAGCAGAAGCCCTCACTTTGCTAGGTCTGCGACCTTTGTCTCATGTTCATGCAGCTTAAGTCACACTCAGTGGACATGTCTGAGCCCTGCCCTCTGCCAGGCCCAGGCAGAAGCGGTGAAGACGAAAGCGGGCCAACACGGTTCCTGGCCTCAGGGGAGACAGACGGATACACCATCCACAGTAATGATGTGACTACTCTTCTGGGAATGCCCTTTAGGCGCTGTGGCACAGTTTATAGACATTTTTAATGTACATTCTATCATTCCTCCTGATGGCTCTGGCGGGGGGGCAGTACACCTCTGAGTTATCAATAGGGAAATGAGCTCAGAGTGGTCAGGGCACTCCGCCGTTAAGTGGTGGAGCCGGGATCTCGGCGTCCACCTGCCGGGCCGCCCGCTGCCCTGAGCCCCGGTGGCCACAGTGCCTCGGGCATCACCAGGGAAGCCTGGGGGGAGGCCGGGTCTGCTCAGCTGTGGTTCTCAGGCACAGGGCAGCGTGGGCCCGGCCTGTGCGGGCGCCTCTAGCCTCTTGACTCACATGAGGGGCTCCCCGGAGACCTCCGTGCACCATGCACAGTGGGAGGCAGCAGCCAGAGAAGGGGGCGCACCCCGGCAGACCTGGGCACCAGGTTCGGGGACCGGTGAAGGCTCCCCCTCACTGAGGGGCAGGCCGGCTGCTGACGTCACTACTACGGTAACAGCCAGAGCCCCAGTGGGAAGAGGAAGGTCAGTGTGGGGGCCAGAAAGGGCAGGAAATGGAAGACCCTGGAAAGGTTTACTGAAGGGACTATTACAGAGTGTGGGCAGGATTAGGGGGATTAAAATGGGGTTAACAGATTTAGCAAATAAAAAAAACAGGATGCCAAGTTAAATTTAAATTTCATACTAACAATGAATCATATTTTTAGGATAAATACTGTAATATTTGGGACATACTTATCCAAAAGAATTATTCTTGATTTACTAGAAGTGCCAATCCAACTGAGATCCTGTATTTTTTTCTAGCAACACTGTGTAAGGAAGGACACCAAGGACTAACTACAGCAGGAACTAGGCGGGGAGGTCCTGCAGGAGGGGCCTGGAGCTCCCAGGAGGTGGAAGATCAGTCATCCCAGAACTCGGCAAGACAGGGAGGAAATGGGCAGAGCCCACCACCTCTGTTCTCCTGCTCTACCTCCCTTTAGCAAAGGAGCCCCCTGATGCAGTATTCTGGGGGTCGTTGGCACCAAGAAGGGCAAAAAACAGATCTGGGCAAAGAGACAGACAAAAGTTATCCAACACAGCTCACATACAGATTTCTCTCCTCTCCTCACTGACCCTTCAAAGGTTCAGGTAGGTCCTTTCTGTAGGACCTACAATGACTTCCACTGCCTACAAGACCAAGTTCAAGCTCTTTAGCATCCAAGGAGTCTGCACCCTCTCCTCCTCGGAGCCCGCAGGGCTCCCAGTGAACAAGGACTTCACGGTGGCTCGACCCAACCTCAGGGCCTTTGCTTATGCTATTCCTTTGAGTAGTCATGGAATTTAGAGCTGGAAAGGCCCTGGAGGGAATCTGTTCTCACCGCTTTATGGGCAAGACATGAAACTTCACGCATGGTAAGGGGAAAGGACACACTTAATGCTACTTCATCTCCAGTCAACCAACCCTCCTGGACCTACTTTGGTCTGTGCCAGGAAGCCAGCAAGGGCTCCCGGCCAGAACCTGGATGCGCAGTGAGGGTTCCCTCCTCTCGTGATGGGCAGCCTTGTTCTGACTTGCTGTCTGTCTCTGTGTCCCTCTTCCCTGACCAGAATTCAAGGTTCTTTTTCTAAGCTTTCCCTCCGGCACAGTGCCGGCAATGCGAACACAATGATTTTCCTTTAAAATTACATCCTCTTATTTTAATTCAATGATTTAATTATAGTTATTAAATAACTAAAGATCTGCCTAATTTGGTACTTGTGGTATAATGAAAAACAACAACAACAACAACAACCCAAAACACAGACTTTGGAATCAGATGACCTCGGTTTGTTTACCTTTTTTTTTCTTCAATAAACCTTTGCTGTATTTGCTCTGGGGACAGAAATTCTTCCTGCAGCTGGAAGTGTCACACAGGGTCAGGGATCCAGGATCCCGGCTCCCGGCTCCCGTCCTGGCAGACTGAGGACTTTTCTGATGGACCTTTCAATTCCTGCGTTCTGCACTGCTCTCCCTAGGATACACACAATGGCATTCGAATAAGATTACCTTTTCCATGTAGTTTTCTTTGTAAATTAAACTCAAGATCACCAAATATGTTTCTCATATTTTTCTTACAAGGACTTAATTCAAATGATCTGGGGTGCTTCTCCCATGGGAGAGAGTTTCCTCTAGTTTTTGCTGTTCTGAACTTGGCGTCCCTGGATGACCTTTAAGGAGCCTGTGAACTCTTTCAAGTAGCGTAGGGAATGTTGTGTTTTGGGGTTCACTGCAGCCCCCTCTGCACCCCGAGAGCCTCTCTCCACATAGGGTTGCCAGATGTGACACACACATGCCTGAGACCAGCCTGGGGAGGGACTAGAAGTATATCATTTACTGACAATATATATTTGCACGCATCAACTATTAATTTATGCTTGCTAATGATGCAGCTTTTATAACAGTCTTATTTTTAAGAAGTAGTTTTTTGGCCTTAAAACAATGTTATACAATTATCTGTTAACATGTATGTTGTGTTAAAGGACTTAGAATTTTCATATTCCTGCAGAAAAATCTTTTAAAAAAGATCACAGGACGCCTGGCTCAATGTGCCCCCTATTTCCTATTGTAGCAACCACCTATTTCCTCAGGAACGAACAATGGTGGAGATACAGTGCTGTCACTCATCCTAGGCAGGCTTTCTCCTCCCTTCCTTCTGTGCCCACCCCCCCCACACACACACACACATTGCCTGCAGCTTTGGTGACAAAGTTCAGACACATCCATACACCATCCTTTATGAATTAATAACTTTAAAGTTTCCCCCAAGAATAATGGTTATATTATATTTGTGGGGCTCAAGGGCCCTTTTTGGTGGCGAAGGAAAGAAGGGAGGGAGGGAGGGAGGAAGAAAGGAGGGAAGGAAGGAGAGAAGAATAGGTCTGCTCTAAAGGCTAATTGAAGCACTCACCTCTGGTGTCAGAAGCCACTTGCAATCCCTTCCCCCTGTGCAAGTGTAAAAGCTTTTAGGGCTCAGGGGTCTGGGTGGCTCAGTCATTAAGCCGCCTTGGGCTCGGGTCATGATCCCAGGGTCCTGGGATCGAGCCCCCCATTGGGCTCCCTGCTCCACAGGAGGCCTGCTTCTCCTTCTCCCACCCCCCCTGCTTGTGTTCCCTCTCTCGCTGTCTCTCTCTGTCGAATAAATAAAATCTTTAAAAAAAAAAAAAAGCTTTTCGGGCTCATGCTTAGGTAGAAGCCCTGTGCACAGATGTGAGCATGGGGGTGTGTGATGTTACCACGTACGTGAAGTTTACATGAGTGGAAACATGGTGACAGGCTACCTTGGTATGTCCCAAGGGTCCATAGACTTCTCCTGCCATTTCTACCTCTTGAGAACCTCAGTCCTTCAAACCCACCGCCTCCTTGGAGTTTTGTCTGATACTTCTCTTCTTTCTATTGCGATCACTTTCTGTCATCTGCTAGGCTAACCTTTCAGATAATGGCTGGGCCTCTTCCTGAGACAGTATAAAGGATGTTGCCAAAGTGAGACCAACGTGAAGGAGCGTTAGGGGCCCTACTGGAGGGAATCAGCATGAAGCCGATCTCTGGCATGCAGCTGAGTGTCTTGGGATAGGCGGCTGAAGGGAGGCCAGGCTCTGAGCAGAGAGATTAGATCAGCGGGCCCGCGTGGGCAGGGGGGAGGGACTCAACTGTTCGTTGTTACACTCTGTGATTTTTTTTTTCTTAAGGGTAAAAATGGGGCAGAGAAGACGCTCCAGAAATAATCTTGAATGAGAATGAGTCAATGAATGGTTTTCCAGAGGTTGGGAACTTCCAGGGGCGTGAAGAGAAACGGAATCCCCAGGTCAAGGCTGCGGAGGAAACAGTCGTGTGGTTCAGCACAGCGTCGGGGTTCACCGTGGCTGGGGTCCCAGGCTGGTGCGGGAGCAGCAGGCCTGGCGTCCTGGCCCCGGATTGGCCAGCAAGACTCAACATCATCATCCAAAGGAAGGCCTTCAAAGGACCTTCTGGATCTGATTTCTCTCCACATCAAATTTTCTGAGGCTTGAACAACAGATATCGAGATTATGGGTGATTTCAATTTTCTTCTTTATACTTTTCTGGATTTTAAAAATGTTTTGCTCTAGTCAGAGTGTTTCACCAGCCCCCCACCACCTTTCATGACATCCCGCGTTCTCTTCTCTGCACGCCTGGCTCTCCTACGGAGTTTCACTGATGTCCAGGGTGACTGTCTGGCCTCAGAGCAAGGCTGAAATTCAGCCTGAGACCCCTTGGTCAAGCCTTGCTGTGGACCAGAGGAGAGGTGCCTTTTCATAATTCATCTGTCCACACAGGGCTCCTGTTTCTTCTAATTCTCACAAAGGTGCTGCATGTGCTAAGCAAGGACAGGCTGACATTACCCGGGTGAGCGAGTCCAGACAAAGGTACTTGGAGTGGCCACCAAGATGTGCTGTCAGATCCCCGTGGGCTCAGCCGCAGCTTCCAGGTCCCCTGCCCTTGCCGGAAGCTTGGCCACTGCGGTAGGACCCCGCGACACCGCCATGACGGGAAGCAGGGCTCTCCACGAGGTGCCACAGAGGCGCTGTGTTCTCTGGAAACTTCAAAGGCACATGATTCCAGGAAAAATGATTCATTTTGCCCTATTGTTTCCCAGGCCAAGCCTCAGTCACTCAGAGCTATGGTGAAGCCACATTTTATAAGCTCACTCTTTTTTAATTAAACCATGGGATTAATTTAACTGTTGAGGATGTGGGGGTGCTGGTAAGGGGATAAAACTGGTTCCTGCTCTTTAACTACATGGGACACCTCCTGATTTAGGCAGCCGGGCGTGGACCCTCCGGGTCAGGTGGCCCTGTGCTTTCCGGGCAACATTCCCAGTGCAGGAATATCTGGCATGGCTGGAAACCCCAGGTGTGGGGTCCAGGAGGCCCAGATGCACCACATTCTTGGCCCTGTGTTCACAGGCCTCCTGGGGATCTCCCTCAAGCCTGGGGGAAAAGAATCTCTAATTCAGTGCTACTCTCAAAGGCGCCCCCTGCAGGACATCAGCCAAGCTCTTCTGTGACACATCAGGCCTGCTTTGCAAACCACCCCCAGGCAAGAATTTACCAAGGGCCTGGCTACCTGCAATGAAGAGAAGAAAACACTGGCAGAACACATATTAACATCTCCGTGAATTGTCCCTCACCTCTTCCTCGGAAATCTGACACCTCCTGTACCAGCTTGCCATTTAATGAGGGTGAGTGCCTAGAGGCAGAGGGACAGAGCTGTGAGGGGAGGTGCTGGGATACCCGAGTGGGGAGCATCTTCGGGGAAGCTTGTTGGCCAGTCCAGCGGGGGAAGGAGGGCCATCTTGGTCCTGAGGGCGGGGAGAAAGTCCCATTCAGTTAACATCACAGGCCAGGGTTTGGATTTCTGGATCTCTTGGGAACACTCCACATATGCATCCAGCCCTGATGCCAAAAGCTGAGGTGCAACAAGTCCGATGGGGGCCAGACACGGTGGTGCTGGTCCTGTAGGAGACAAGGATCAGGGTCTCAGGATCCCATGGCCCACTGGGGAGGCAGCCTCATGCACCGATCCAGAGACCATGAGGAGTGGGATGACCTCAGTAGTTGACGAGAGACAGTGGGGCAATGCATCCTAGGCAGAGGTGACAGTGTCTGGATGGGAGATATAATGGAGGCTGAAACATCATAGGTATGTGGGGAGAGGAAGCAGAGTGGAAAAATAAGCTTAGAAAAACAGCCTAATTTTTTGGATGCATGTCAAAGAACACTGAAGTCCTGACAGAGGGGAGTGTGGGTTTAACTTTAGCTGGACCTTTATCACTTATACCTGCTCATAGTTTAAGGGCATTTGTCCTCAGACCCAGCTCTCACCTCCTCCTCCCCAAGCTTTCAGCTGGTTCTTTTAGTATTTATCTTCCTTGCTCTAAATATGACATATAGGGGCGCCTGGGTGGCGCAGCTGGTTGAGCGTCTGACTCTTGGTTTCAGCTCAGGTCATGATCTCAGGGTCATGATCTCAGGGTTGTGAGATCAAGCCCTGCACTGGGCTCCCCGCTCAGTTGTGGAGTCTGCTTGAGATTCTCTCTCCTTTCCCTCTGCCCCTATCACCTCCCCCATGCACTTGCTTGCATGTTCTCTCTAAAATAATAAATAAATCTTTTGAAAAATAAAAATAAATAAGTAAATATGACATATATTGCCACTATGTGATTTTCCAATATTAAATGTCATTCACTGAATTTCCACCATAGAAGATGAGGATTTTACTCCTTCCCACTAAGTATAAACATATTTCTTATCCCTTAAAATATAGTTACATGATAATTTTTGTTAGATAAATATTTTGCCTTTATATTACTATTAATATGCCAATGGTGTTGAATTATATAATATACTATGATAACTTTGTCTTGCTTGCTTATTTTTGTGCTTTTCCTGAAATTAATTGTCGTCTTTGTTTGGTTTTGCTTTGGTTAGGTTTCTAATTAGTTATCACTAATTAAGCCCCAAAGTATAAAATTAAACTCCAATTTTATAAATCTGGGATAAGATAAAAGTATATAAATCTCCTTTCAAGATGTTCAGACACCTGTGGCAGCCTGCTAGTTTTGTTTTCCTGGGAATCCCTCCTGAAGCTCCCATCTGAATGATGGCCCTGGAGGTCTGTGGAGGACGCTCATCACCTCACCTGGGTTAGCATTCCCTTGCCTTCCTCTTGTTGCCCCCCCGCCCCCACCCCATATTTTGGTGGAGCCCATCTCCCAGTAGCTTCCTGGGGAAAAGTGCATTAGAGGTAAATTTGTCAACACTTGAATATCTGGAAAAATTTTTCTTCTACTCTTGCGATTGATTGATAGTTGGCTGGAAACAGAATTCTACGTTGAAGATCGTTTTCTTTTAAAATTGTAAAAATGTTGCTCCATTGCTTTAAAAATTGTTGCTATTGAGAAATATGAAAACAGTTTGATTTCTGCTTCCTTTGTATGAGACAGGATTTTCCCTTTAAATCTCATTTATTTTCTTTTGTCTCCAGTGTTCTGGAAAGTTCACAAGAGTTTGCCTTGCGGTGGGTCTCTTTTCATCCTCTGTGCCAGAACAGTCCCTTTCAATGTGGAAACTCTTCCCTCAGGTCTAGGAAATGTTCTTGAAATACCTCATTGAGGATTTCCTCTGACAGTAGGTATTTTTTTCTACCCCCTGATCGTAGATGGAGATACCATGTCTCTCAAACGTAACCAGATTCTGTGGTCCTAGAACATATCAGGTCCTGCATGTCAGTGACGTGCCTGGGAACCTGTCATTAAGGCCTACCTTGTCACTGAGGCTTTCCTTGAGCAGCCCACCTAAGGCAACACCCCATCTTAGTCCATTTGGGCAGCAGTGACCCAATACCATCAACTGGGTGGCTTATAAACAACAAACTATTTTCTAACAGCTCTAGAGGCTGGAAGTCCAAGGTCATGGCACCTGCATGGTCAGGTTCACTGAAGGCCCTCTTCCAGGTTGCAGACTGCCAACTTCCTGCTGTGTCTTCACATGATGGAAGGGGTCATGGGCCTCTCTGAGGTCCCTTTTGTAAGAACACTGATCCCATTCATTTGGGTTTCCACGCTCATGACCTAAAGCTCCAAGTCCTAATACCATCACCTCCGGGAGTTAAGATTTCAACATAGGAATTTAGAGGGAACACAAACATTCAGAACATAGCACACCCCATCCAGCAGTCCCTATCTTACTCTGCTTGACTCCACTCGCCACATCATAGGTGCTCAATGTTTGTTGACCTGGGTTGAGTTGGATTATCTGAGCTGCAGTTTCTCCATCTTTAAGATGAGGGGGTTGGACTAGAATTCTCAGGGCCCTACTATAGCTCTAATGTCCCATAACTCCGCCAACGTCCCTGGGTTGGAAAACGACTTGTAAATAAGAAAAAATAGTATCTGGAAGTGTGTCTTTTCTTCCTGTGTTTAGTGAATTCTTTAGCATAATGTTTATGGGTGTGTGTGTCCCCTCAGCTGGAGGCACTGACACCCCCCACCCTGGGGGCAGCAAGTCACAAAACCTGCACCACCTTTAGGGAAGGAACAAACCTGCAGAGCCTGGAACAGGTGAGGAAAATGACCTCCATCTCCAGGAACATGTTACTCCTTTCCCTCCAGACACCTGGGAGTGGTCCCAGGCTGTTCCTATCTTAGAACCTCCCTGTCCCATCTAATCATTACCAGGCCTCCTCCATTCTGCTTCTGAGGTTTCTCAACACACTCCCCTCCCCCTCCATTCCTTTCACCTCCCCAGGGTGGCTTTCATCTTCTCTCCCCTGGCCTCTAACAATGGCCTCCTAACTTATGTCCCTCTACCTATGTTGTCCTGCAAAACATCCTCCAAAAAATCTAAGACACAAAATAGACTATATAGCCTTTCCCTACTAAAAACCTGTCATTGCCCCTCCCCTCCCAAAGTAGGAGACAGAAGTCCATAAATGTCCACACTTCTTAGGTTAGTGTCTCAATGGTTGATGATGCCCATTGCACAGTTGGGCCATCTGATACCCGTAACAACCCTCTGACCCAGGTAGAAGCCTTCTGGAAGACAAGAACCTTGGCCCCGTGGGATGGACCCATGAATGGTCTGGGACACTCAGGAGACATATGTGGAAGCCGCTAATTCTCTTCCTGGTGCTGCTCCCCTCCAAAGACCACATCTAATTAGTTGTTATAAACCCATCTCAGGTATGGATAATCACAAAGATGATGAGACAGATTAGGAAAAAATAAATAAATAAAAGTAAAAAGAACAAGAAAGACAGCCTGTGACATGACACAGCAGTGTCTAATGTCAGTCCTGCCTGGTGGTGGCAGCCAGAGCACTGTGGCTTCGATGCGAGCTCCGTGTCATAAAATGTCCTTCCCTCCTCACCAGGACTCCATGGGAGGTGGGGGTTTCAGCGGCTTCAGGAGACAGTGTCATACGCATGGCGTCATGCCTTCCTGACACCCTCCTCAGGGGCCAGGGCAGGGCCATTTACCAGTGCAGAGGTGATCAACAAGAAGGCAGTGCAAATTTACTGGAGCAAACACTCTGAGCAAGAGAAACACAAAAGAGGTTAAAAATTACATCACCACTGACAAGAGACTAAATATTTTTAATTCGGTGAGTAAAACTCATGTTGGCAATCTGGGTAATCTCGACAAATCTGCTGATTGGTAAGGGCGCCCCCCTGTGTTACTACGGGGTAATGTCAACTAGGTGCCGGCGGCTGCAACATAAATCTCCGTGCAATGGTCTCCTTGGTCTCCTGCCTGCCGTTTTCTCCTTGTCTCCGGCCAGTGGGCCCACTGAGGGCTCTGAGAGAGAAACGCCAGGCTAGGGTCGGCCCCTGCGGGTGGGAGAGGCAGCCAGGCTTGCGTGAGAGCCTCTCCAGCCGCACTGAACGTTCCTCCCTTTACACGGGACACACCTTGACAATCAGAAATGATCAAGGATCCCAGGATGTTGGTGTGCGTTGTATCTCTTGGTTTATACTCTATTAGAAACGAAAGCTGAGAATTTTAAAAGTATGCATTACTTCATTTAAAATAGCAATAATAGGGGCGCCTGAGTTGCGCAGTCGTTAAGCATCTAACTCTTGGTTTCTGTTCAGGTCTTGATCTCAGGGTCGTGGGATCGCACCCGGCCTTGGGCGGTGGACTCAGCACAGTCTACTTGTCCCTCTCCATACCCCTCAGCTCCTCCTCTGGCTCTCTCCCCCCATCTCTCTCGAATAAATAAAATCTTTTAAAAAATCACAATAATAAACCCATATTAATAAACACATTTTAATGAAAAATAACTAGATTTTTTAAAATGAAAAAAGTTAGAAAAAGGGTGTTTTACACTTTTGCAAACCTGTTTAACGTCTGGCTCAGCAGACAAGAGCTAGATTCTTATGTTCGCTTCTGCATTCAGTCTCTTGCCATGTTGTGTCACCTAGCCTCTGGAAAACTCCCCCGTACGCTTGTGCAAGGATGAGAGTGAAAAGGGCAAATAACATCTTAGTATTTTTGTGAAAACAGGTTTGACCTCAGGACCCCCTGAAAGGGTCTTAGGGACGCCCAGTAGGCCCCAGAGAACTGTGAGAACTGCTGAGTTAAGAATACAGGTACATGAGCCACAAGCCTGGGTACAGGTCTAGAACATAGTATTTTTGTTAATGGCCAACTTCGATGTTCACGTTTCCCTTTCTTTGCTAGCCAAAGAACACATAGCCCTGAGATGGGCAGGGTGCGTGCTCCCACAATGTCCTATATGCGGGAGAGAGGAGGAAATGTCCCCAAATGGTCCCTCTGTCCCATGAGATCCTGACCAGCAGGCCCACCCCAGGTAGGAGGGCAAGCCTTCCAGGGAGTCACCAATGTTTGGGTGAGCACTTTTCACCATCCTCCTGCTTGGCCACTGCCTGGAGCCTGCACGGGCGGCTAACATTGTCAGAGAGCCCTACCTTCTGTTCGGGATACTCCTGGACCCCTGAGCAGAAAGAAGCAGGGGACACTCTTTCCTCTAAAACAAGAAAGTTGAGAAAGATTTCTTGCTTGTCCCAAGAAACAGCCCTGTCCCTGAGCTAACCCTTGCCACCCAACAGCACTGCTCAGGGGGCTTGGCCCTGGGCACTCTACTCTCTGCCCCCCTTGAGGTTGCTGGGCAACTCCTCAAGCCCTGAGCTTCACCAGATTTAATAATCACTTCCCACATAGTAGACAGTGGCCTATAAGGCCTTGCCCCTCAGAGAAATCTCTAGAGATGGGGACTTCACACAACTGGAAGAACCATCAAAGGGAACACTTTAAGGCAGGGGATTTGGGGGCATGTTCACCTCTGAGGCTGACCCCATGACGGTGTTGACTGAGATTTGCAGGGAGGAGGTGGTCAGTCATGATACCTCAGGCCTGGGCAAAGGGGTCTCTGGAGGAGTCTGGCTGGTGTGGTTCTGAGCCAGCCACTTCCTACCTATGTGACCTTGGGAAGGTCTCTTTGTCCTTCTCAGCTTCAAGTGTCTTCATCTGTAAATAGACTAATAGACTCCCCTTTCCCAGTCACGGTAGGATTTAGAGATCATATATGCCAAGCCCTGAGGCGCTGGCCAGGGATTCAGTAGACCTGAGGCCCCGGCCATATCATTTCCTGATTGTGTGTGACCTGGGTGAGCTCCTTTTAGGAAGACCCTCCTTTGAAATGTTTCTAGACTGTGACCACTCCTCACGTCTATTCTGTTATCATCCTTGACCCCAGCCAGTGTCATCTTTTATCTGAATGAAGGCAGGAACCTCCTAACTCACCTCTCTGCCTCTGCCCCAACCCCTGGTCTACTCTCTCTGCAGTGACCAGAATTGATTTCTAAGTTAGGCTATGTGATGGCTCTGCTTAAAATCCACTACCAGCTTCCCATCTGACTCAGAAACAAACTCAAGTTCTTTCAGTGGCCTCCTGGGCCTTACAGGATCTGCCTCATCTCCACTCTGAGCTCACCTCTCACTGCTGCCTTTCATGCCCCATGGCGCAGCCACAATGGTCTCCTGTTTCTTCCCCATGCCAGGCATCCTCTGACCTCAGGACCTTTGCACTTACTATTCCCTCTACCTAGACCTCCTCCCCCAAACATTACATGAATTGTCTCCTCATTTCTTTCAGGCCTTAACTCAAAGTCACCTTTCAGAGAGACTTTCTCTGGACATCCTACCGAAACACCCCATCGGTCAGTCCCTGGCACCCTACTCTGCTTGATTTTACTCCTCACGTCGTAGGTGCTCAATATTTGTTGAACTGAGTTGAAATGATTTTCTGGACTGTAACTTCACCTTTAAAATGAGGGAGTTGGACTAGAATTCTCAGGGTCCTACTAGCTCTAATCTCCCATAACTCTGCTTATGCCCCTATGTTGGAAAATAACTTGTGAGAACAAAATAATATCTGTACATCTGTTTGTTTGCCTGCATTTAATGAATTATTTAATGTGTGAGCAAGGGTCCTGTTACAATGTCCTGATTCAGCTTACAGAAAGTCACAGGAGCATGAACCCTGCCCGTCTCAGTGCACTGTAGGTTCTTTGGATGAGCAAAGAAAGGGAATCTGAATTCCAAATGAGAGCCATTTAAAAAAAAAAAAAAAGTAGGTGCTAGATCTGTACCCAGGCCTGTGGTACACGTGACCATATTCTTCATTCAGCAGTTCTCAAAGTGGTCTGGGGCCCTTTGGGGGTCCCCAGGACCCTTTCAGGGATCCCTGAGGTTAAAACAGACTTCATGGCTGCTCCCCTCTTCCCTGGCCCCTGCAGCAGCACCCTAACTCCTTACCCTCCACTTTGTAAAAGGCCACCTAAACTCTTCTCACTTCCCAGTAAAGCCTCCCCCCACACCAAGTATTTCCTAGGGCTTTGCCTGCGTGTGCACAGACACGTTGTCCGAGCGTGGTGGCCAGAATGGTGTCCCCGCACCTGAGGACACAGCTCGAAGCAGCCCGCCACCGCTCACACAGAAGGTGAGTCTCCTGTCCCAGCTTTAAGTGCATGGGGATTTTGCATTATAGGTTCCATAAGCTATCCATCTTTAAAAATTTAAGTTTATGTATTTATGTGCTCTCGTGCAAACTCAAGAAAGGCAAGTCACGTTTCTTTTGTGGCCTCTGGGTTTCCTCGCCTCTGGAAGCAGGGGGGCCACCTCGCCTTCCTTTGCGACACAACAATCCCCAGGAGAAGTCCCAGCTCCTCCGTGGGGTGCTGAAGCCCCATTGTAGGCGTCCCCGCCTTGGACCCTGGGGCCTCACCCCTCCAACCTTTGCCCCTACGCTTGCTCTTCTCTCCCTGTGGAAGGCTCCTGTCCCGTGGGGATGGATCTTCCTGGATCTCTGGTGGCATTCTCCTCCAAACATTCCTTTCCTGCCACTGCTCCTATATGGCATCGGTCACTCTGCTGCCCATTCTGCCCCCTGACTCACGGGAAGGACGCCGGATTCCCTGCATCCGGTGATGCTCCGCGCAGGTCAGGCAGGTGCGCAGTCCGGAGAGGCGGGCGGGCGGGCGACGCGCCGCAGTTCCCGCTCCCGCCGCGCGGGGGGGGTGGGTGCCCGGCCGGCTGCGCTCCCGCTCCCGCCCCAGTGCCCGCCGACTCCTCCGCGCTTCCCGCCCCGGGGCGCCTCCCTGGGAGGGGCCGGCGGGGCGAGCAGGGCACCTGGCGCAGGCAGAGACCCTGCGGCGCGGCTCTCCCTGGGTGGCACCCGGCTGGGGACGCGTGGGATGACCGGAGGCCCTTTATCTTGTCGCCTCGTAGAACACAGGAGCCTCTGTATAATTCCAAACTACGGCGATGCGCGTCCTGCCATCCCACGCTGGTGGCCTTCCTGGGTCATATCCGGCCTGAAAGCAGCAGCGAGTCGGTACTTTGCCGCTGTGACCCTGCACCATTCTGGGCCTGGGTGGCCTCATCTGCACAGAGTAGAGGTGCAACAGTCTACCCAGAGGATTCAGTACAAAGGTGAAGGGTGTGCGGGCTGCGACGTCGGCACAGTCACCCCCGCTCCACTGCTGAGGTCTCCCGAGCAAAGGCCGGAATCCGCCCTAGGACCCCGCTCCTGCACGCTCGCCCGCTGCCTCCGGGGCCCTCAGAGCACGGGGGGGCGGGGGGGGGGCTGGGAGCCAGGCATGTTGGGGCAGGGCCCCTCTCAGGACGGGCACGGATCATGCACCGATCATCTGAGCGCCAACGATGTCAGGGGACCCACAAGGCACCTCTGAAGCCCTTCCAGGGCCTTTCTTGGGACCTTCAGTACCGCACTTCCTGGGACATCTCTGCCCTCGAACCAAACCGCTTGGTTGGTGTAGGCGCGGGAAACAATGGCCTCCCAGCCCCTGCTGCGCATGTGCAGGTGAGCTCCCCGGCCACGGTAAATTCGAAAACTTCGTTTTGGTGTGTGCGTGCAGGAGGTGTGTGAGGGAGAGATTTTGTGCGTGCCCAGTTATTATTGCCTGAAACCAATTTGCAGGTGGTCACATAGGAGGCTGTCTCCATTTCACGTTGATAATAATCCCCGATTCCAACAGGCCGGAGAGACCAGGCACCACAGCCAAAACCTGGAAAACCCGGGTGTCTGCAGGCTCCCTTGGGCCTTGAACTAGCTCTGTCTGAGCTCAGCCTGGGCAGACTCCCAGGGATGCTGGGGAGCTCAGGCACCCCTCCGCAACGGCCATCTGGCCCCCTCCTAACCCCACATGCCTTCCTCACACTGGGGCTCTCCCAGCCTGGACTCTGGCCTCCCGTCTGCACCATCCACTCTGCTGTTTGCTTCCTGGTGTTCTTTCCACCCCAGCGCCAACCACAAGTCTTTTGGAGGAAGGCCCACAGTTTCTTCATCAGGCAGTAATCCTGAGGGGCTCCAACCACGCTTCCCAAACTAGCCTCTCCTCATTTCTCTCAGGGGATCCTGGGAGGCCCACACCCCCTACCTGCCAGCCTTCTTTGGAACCTGAGCATTGCCCAGGATTAGCTGTCCAGCGTGTGTCCTGCAGGTCCCCCCCCCCCCCCCCCCCAGAGCCTTCCCTGAAACTCCTGGCAGCCTTCCTTCCTGACGACCCAGGGCACTAACCTACTGGCCACATGGGGCCACAACTAGCCAGCCTCTACCTTACTTCTGGCTGTCCTGTGTGTCCCCCAACTGCTCCCGGGTGTTGACCTTGCCTTCTGAGTCAGACTGTGAGCCCCTGGAAGGCAGGGCCATGGCTTGGCTTGCTCTAGCAGTCCCTGCACCGAGTGCCTGGCCAGGCACTGGGCACAGAGGGACACTTAGAAAATGCTTGTCAGGTGTGACCTAAGGAGGCCAGGTCGAGATTGTATGGGACGTGGGACTGGAGGAGCAGTCTCGGCCCTGAAGTTACTATGAATGACCGTACACACCAGTTGCCGGAAGGAAGAGAAACAGTTCTGTGTAAAAACCAAGACTCTAAATAACAAAATAAAAGAGGGTCATTGACAGGTCACCAGCTATGGTAACACCTCCCCTACCTGGAGCTGTTGGAATCCATGATTCATACTCAGGAATCCCTGCTTTTATGAACATTTCTAACACACACAGGCATCTGGTTAGTAAATTCACAACAGATTAGGAGGAACAAATCGAAGTATCGTGAAACTGCTCTGGGCTGACACGCAGACGGCACTGGGAGGTGACAGCTGGGACCGGGCTGTCACAAGGAATCCAGCCCAGCAGCCTGGGGCCATCCGGCGCAGGGCACAGAGCCATACCTAGGCAAGGCAGTGCCTTCTAACCTGGTGTCACTTTGCAGCTTAATATGGAAATGATGTTCATAATGATTAACCCTGAATCACGAAGAGAAGTTAAATGATGTTTGAATGACTGGTTAAGAGGTCAAGGAAGCAACTTGCTTGTTTTACATTCGTTTCCCTACAAAACAGTTAAAATTGTTTTGAGGAAACTTAACAAAATGTGCCCTCTGCTAGCTAGAAAATGAAGTGGCAGCTTCCATCTCTGGTGTCTGAGCCCTTTGTGCACCTCCTTTCATTTGGAGGGTGCACAGTTTCTCAGCACTTGGGAGACAAGGGTGGGTGACTCACTGGAGGGTCCCATGGCTGAAGCAGAAGGGCGAGTCTCAGCATCAAGTGTTCTTGACACTTCCACCAGCTCTACTTCCCCATGGCTGCCCCATGGCTGCCCCGACTCAGCCCCCGAGGGCTCCAGATGGACGTTGCTGTCCTGATGTTGCAAAATGTCCGCTTAGCTGTTTCTTTCCATTCTGGTAGTCACTGCCCTCCCCCAGCAGCCGGGGGGCCCTGGGCGTGACTTTTACCCCTGCTGTGTCTCCCGTGTCAGCACACCTCAGCTCGAGGCAACCCACCGTTGGTATCACTCTGGTTCAAGCCCTGGATTTCTTCAGACTGGTTCTTCGGGAAAGGAATGTGCTGGACACTCAGGCCAGTGGCGCATCTAACCCAGAGTTAACCATTTACCAAGAGACAGAATGGCCTACGGGGCTCTAAGGTCAAACTTCCCGGGTTCAAATTCCAGCTCTGCTACCTACTAACTGTGTAGCCTTGGGAGAGTTACTTAATCTCTCTGTGCCTTGGTTTCCCCATCTGTGAAATACACGTGATAGTAATACTTCACTCACTGGGTTGTTGTAACTGTCAAATACGTTGATATGTGCCAAGTGCTTAAAACTGTGCCTGGCACTTAGTAAGCATTTGACAAATATGAGTTGTATTTGCTAATGCACGACGATTTACATACACCATCTCCATAACCTGTCTCAAATCCTTTTTTAGAACCAGACTAGTTATAAAGAATCTCGCATTGTCATACCCATCCCGTAAGGTAGGTATCAGCTTTCCCATTTTGCAGCTGAGATTCCTGAAGAACAAAGTCAAGTGACCGACTTGAGGACAGAGTTCCAGGAGGTGGCAGAATTGGGATCGTACCTGGGGGCTATGGCCTGAATGTTTGTGTCCCCCCCCTCCTCAATATAGGGTATTAGGAGGTGGGGCTTTGCGGGTACTTGCTTAGGTCAAGAGAGCAGAGCCCACAT